CAGGTATGACCTTCTTAAAATACCCGTCTGCCTTGTGACCTAAGGGTACTCGTTGCGGTCTGGAGTAGTGGCAACAGTTAAAAAACATAAGTTGCACTACCTGCCTTGGGGTCCCGCTGGGGGTGTTGCTGAGGCCTAGGTGGAGTGGAAATTGCAGCGTATTCCATCATGAAGAAGAATACCTGAGAGGAAGCAAAGCTAAGCAAAATTAGATGTAAATGGTTAGCCTAATCATATGGTTGTGAAAAAATTTATCATCTTATGCGACCTAGGGTAACTGGAGCTCTTATTAAAGATTTGCTAATTGTTTATAAGACCTATTTAATATGAAAATAATGTATATTGTCTCTGTAAAATGAGTGCTACGGGAAAATAGTGCTCTGAGGACGAATATAATGTAACCAAAATTAATATCTTTTCCATCCAAATCTTGTAAAAAATGAGGGCTACTCAGATATAAACATCTCAAGAAGGTGGATATGGAGACAAGGCTGTGATGACCTTGTGTTTGGTCGCGCTCTCCTTTAGCTTCGTAGTGTTGGCTTGACTTCGTTTTCGCGACTTCGTCGGAGCGTCAGGGAGACCTTGTTGAACGTAACTATTCCCGCTTCCTCTGCCATAGTAATCATGATTTTCGGCATCTGACCAGTGACTTGCTATATTCCCATTCGCTTCGCGGTCATCACCGTAGAGAGGTGTCATCGACAGCATAGAGTTACAACTTAACAAAGTGACAAGTTAAGGCCCATTTACCTATTAGCATCCTCGTTGCTTCTAAAGTCGCCTAAGACTGTGTCACTTCAATAAGATTTAGTGAAGCGTAATAACCTTTATCACCTGTTACAGGTGCCGTGTGCAGGTCATATATAAGTCTGTTTTCGGTCTATTTTGACCTCGAAACCAGAATGATCCTCAGGACAGGACGAAATTCTGCACTTCGGAAGGAAAGCAAAGCAATCAAGGGCAGAGAATTTAAGGTTATAAATAAGTCTGAGAAGAGAACTGGAAATGGAGACCATCCCAACAATCTTAGCGTATCGCGAACCGACAAATATTAAAAATATAACCAAGATATATAGAGACTTAAAAAGAAACGATCAAATTGTTCTACAAACCGACAAAAGAGTCGGCACAATAGGGATGTTAATAGGTGGACTTTCAGTTCGCATGAAAGTAAATGAAGAAGAGATTCGTTAGTCGATCTCACCAGATGAGGACGGATGAATCTCGTTGTACTGCAGTCGTTTGGCTTTTATGCGATATTCATTTTGACGCAGTCCACAAGACTTCCTTCCTAGTTTTAGGTGAAAACGTGCTCAGCTTTCGTCCATCATTCGATGGACATCAACAGAGCTGGGTTACATTCTTGTAAGAGTATTACGTTAACCTTAGGCCAAGAACACTATCCGGCTCTATCTTAATTCTTATATAGACTCAACTGAGCAAAAAGAAATTAAAAACCTATCTAGATCGGTATAGAGCGGTTTGGTTAATTTTCTTTTCTATCGGTCCTATTATTTTTGCTCGATTGTATGAGTATATGTATTTGTGCGTGTTAGCATCTATATGCAATACGGTTCCCAAATCAGAGCTGTCAAAGTTGTAATATATGCGAAGAAAAGTTGATAGGGGGAACTTCATTTCGAATGAAAGTACATGATGAAGAGATTCGTTTGTCGTTATCACCAGATGAGGA